TTCCCCTTGCGATTCCCAGGAAATCGTAAGAAATCTTTCAAAGCCGATTTGTTGGGAAAGGCTGAAATGTAAAAACCAACAAAGAAACGAATGAATATGAATAATGAGCGACAGCCCATCCGATAAATTGTTCGAGGACACTTTTAGTGCAACTCCAAAGTGTAATAAACCAATTGGCATAAAATATTAGTTCTCTGGCTTTAAATTATTTTAAACTCATGCACCAAGCACTGGATGACACGGAGTTTCTTTGAAAGCGGATCAATACCCGTGTGCAGAGTTTTGGTATGCGCCATGCCATCGACATCCGCTCAGATATACCGAACTGGTTGAAAGAGTTACAAATTAATGCGAACGGCCAGATTGAGCCATTTAGCAATTTATGTCCGATAGAATTGACAGCGGTCATAGGCATACAATTTGAAGTGGTCGCAGCTGAGAAGTAGAACCAGTGGTCATGATTGCGAAAAGTGACCTCTCTGGGGTCTTTATACTGCATTTTAACCTCTCAATTTCAGTACCAACGAGCAGTGACCCAGTATGTGACGAGAAACTCCGTACAATTCGATCCTATCGACTTCGACATCACCGATCTCAGTGGTTGTCGCATCATGCAAGGTATTCAATAGTATCTTTTGCAAGATCAATATATAGACCAGCCCCAAGACCTCCAGCCACTGAACGGTCTATTTTCCAGCCAGCCTCTATCCGGAAGGCATGATGTTGAATGAAGGAAAACGAAAAGTATGCGATGTGACGCTAGTGAATGACGACGATTCACCTAGCTTTATCGCAAAAATTTCACATCCAGTAACGGGTAAATCTTTGAAAATTTCACCTAAGCACAGTAATGTCACTATTACCTCACTACATGTTAATTATGTTTCTTAGCAATTTGATTTCGAATTCATAGAGAAAATTCCGCAGAAATCGATATACGATATATCTAACAACCCTACCACTACCCATTTGCAATTATTCATGACCAGTATCGCAAAATAAAGGCATAGAGTACCGACTGCAATGTTGGGTATAACATATAGCCAGGGCAGGGTCGATTTCCCAATGGTAACTCACTAA